TGCTGCGCATGTTGAGTTGCAGTTGGTTGCAAACTAAACACTTGGCATGCTACACGGTCGCGGACGGCATGTCGACAAATCAAGACATTCTCACCGAAGGAAAGCATATGCACGTTGTCATGTTTGTAACGAACCACAACACAAATTCTCACGCAGGGCCGATCTGTGATGCGCTGGCAAGCGTGTCCGAGCGGAAACAGGTCACGATTGTTTTGATTCAGCAAGAAGACAAGCGAAGTGGCTAACAAAGCATACGTGAGGTAACTCTCAAACTGAAAAAGGTGGAGATTGCAGTGCTTTTGCTCAAGCAAGAGGACAGCTAGGACGATTGCCGCCATGAGCCGGCCTCCAGCAACATCACGCAAGCTCAGGCGTGTGCTGGTGCTACTGGCGCTGTTCTTGACGTGTCAGCCAGAGCCTAAGACCGGCGCTTTGAACAGTGTCAGAGGTGTTCGCGAGCAGTTCAGGCAAGCAACGCAGACGGCGCGGGCTTTGCTTGGAGCGGGGGCCGTGCCGTTTTCAAGGTGGGATGTGATGTATGGCATGGAGTCCCAAAATCCGCAAGCCAGAGCGAGGTCGGTTCCTGCAGGAATATGGGCACGCAGCTTGCTCGTTGCACGCAGGGCTGAGGCGGAAAGCCGAGACCGAGAGAAGTTCAGTGTTAAGCTTATGTCCTGCAGAGCTGAGGCTGATGGCACTTTGGATGGTGGTGAGGCCGAAGACAACGAAGAGAAAAGGGTTTGTCGTGTTGCGTTACTTGTGACTCACGCTAAAGCATGCTACTAAAGCAGGCTGTCCCATCACAGACCGCTGAAACGGTCGAAGATGCCACGCAGGGGATTACCGGGAAGAAGGCGTGCACTCATGTCCTTGGTGCTTGAGGTGTTTGGGTTGTCAGTCAGCTTGTGTTCGTGCCAGCACTTTGCAACTCCAGGCCCCAAAAGCAGGTTTTGCCATGTTTTGCCTTTCTGACCCGCTTCAACTTGTCTGGTGCTTATGATGTAGGTGCTCCAAACGCTCAACTCTGCCAGCAGCACATGTCTTTTCGGGTCAGTCCATGTTTGGAGGCTTCCTCAGCAAAGTATGAGGTGGAAGAGGTGGAAGAGGCGACGACCCAGGCACTTTCGGGGAGTTTGTGTTTTTGCTGGTGCGGGCTTCGCATGTCTGCGTGGCTCCTGCAGGCCAAAGCAGGCTTCGATCAGGCGAGCTGTCCGTGCAGCCTCGCGGACTGGAGCATCCTTTAGGCTGTGCCCATTGGCGCAGGCCCAGTGGCTGCAAAAAACAGCTGAGCAGATCCGGCAGTTTGGCGTGGACGAGGCGATTTGCATGTCTCTTGCTTGAGCTTCGGGTCTGCGAGCATGGATGGCAGGTCAGTTCTTGGGTCCGGGCGGCCTTGGAAACGGAGAACTACGGCGACAAGGGGCAGAGCATTGCCGAGATTTTGAAGCAGAACGACGTGAGGGGCACCGCGCTCCTGGAGTTGACTGCGGAGAAGATGCGAACGGTTGGCATTCTCATGGGCCCCGCTGAAGTCCTGGCCAAGCGCATCGCTGCTGTTTCTGCCCCGCCGACGGCCGCAAGCGCATTCCAGGCCGGGGGCTTGAACAGAGCTGGCTCGTCACATCATGGGTTTCGTTGGTTTCGTGCCTTTCGTGTCAGACCGGAATCTCATAGGATCCCCTCTTCGTTGAGCTGTCCCCACACTGCCTTCTCGGTTTGTTCTTGGCGTCTTCAGTGCACGGACGATCCGGCTTGAACAGCAGCGTTTAGCATGAGGCTTTTCGTGAGAGGTTGCAGAGAGGAGCATTCGTGTGGTTGTTTCTTGTTGTTAACTCTGCTTGTACGTGTCGTTGCTTGTGTTGGGCCAGCAAACATCAGCAAACGTATCTAGCGTCAGTTACTTGTGTTGTTGCCTTCAGGTTGAAGCCGTTCCGACAGACATTGCTTTGATAGTGGAAGCAGCGGTGACGAGAGCATTGGCTGCGGATACCGGCCTGTCGATCTCGAAGACCAATCTGTGGAATGGTCCGTGAGGGGGGCTCAAGGATAACCCTGGGTTCTTCGTGCTTGCCTTTAGCATGCGGACCTTGAAGAGCAGTGGGGTTGCGGTGGGGGCTTCTGCGTGAGCATGTTGGCTTTGGCTTGTAGCACTCCTGCATGTCCGGGGCTCTTGGTCGTCGTGCGTTTTTCGTGCAGTCCAACCGTTTTTGCTTTTTGGGGTCATGCTCTCCTCTCAGCAAGGGTCCGCTCGTCGTCAAGCTTCACTGTGTTGGCTTGCAGCACTTCGGGGAGCGGGAGGGGCTCTTGGCTGCTTCAGGTTCAGGCAAATCTAGTTGCTCTTTGTGTTTTGCCGATGCTTCAGAACGGGGTGTCAGTCCTAGGCTCGAGATGGGGGGGTCAGCCTGTTTTGCGCTCGCTTTGCGCTCGCTTTGCGCTCGTTCTCCAGGTTGCGGTTGTTTTTGTTTGAGGCTCGGCTTTCAGGTTACCGTGTCCGTGAGGGGGGGTCAAGGGAGTCAACCCTGGGTGCCTTTAGCACACGGACTTTGAAGAGCAGTGGGGTTCCGGCAAGACTAGTGCAGGCCGGGGGCTTCTGCGTGGGCATGTTGCCGTTGCTTGTAGCACTCCTGCCTGCCCGGGGCTCTTGGTCATCGTGCGTTTTCGTGCGGTCCACCGTTGTTGCTTTTTGGGGTGCTGCTTTCCTCAGCAAGGATCCCCTCGTCGTTAAGCTGTCTCCACTGTGTTGGCTTGCAGCACTTCGGGGAGCGGGAGGGGCTTTGGGAGCAGAGGGCTCTTGGCTGCTTCAGGTTTCACGCAAATCTGGTTGAGCATTCGCGTTTTGCCGAGTGTTGTTGCTGGCAGTGAGGCTCGAGGTGAGGGTCTGCGTTGCTCTCAGGCTGCAGTTGTTTTTGCGTATGAGGCTCAGTTACGGTATCTGTGTTTGTGTGCTTGGTCGCCGTGCTGTCGCAGTTGTCTTTCTTGATTTGTCGGGGTCGGGCAGGGCCCGAGACGCCAGCGTTTTGCAGGGCAGCCGGTCACAGGGCACCAGGTGAAGCTTCATGTGTGCTTGTGTCGATGCTCGGCTTTTGCACTAAGTGGGCCAGCGTTTCGCGCTTCACTGTGTTGGCTTACAGCACTTCGGGGAGCGGGAGGGGCTCTTGGCTGCTTCAGGTTCAGGCAAATCTGGTTGCCCTTTGTGTTTTGCCGAGGCTTCAGAACGGGGTGTCAGTCTTAGGCTCGAGTTGGGGGGTCAGCCTGTTTTGCGCTGGCTTTGCGCTCTCCAGGCTGGGGTTGCTTTTGAATGAGGCTCGACTTTCAGCTTGCTGTGTCCGTGAGGGGGAGTCAAGGGACCTGGGTTCTTAGTGCCTGCCGCTAGCACACGGACCTTGAAGAGCAGTGGGGTTCCGGCAAGACGAGTGCAGGCCGGGGGGCTTCCGCGTGGGCATGTTTTCTTTGGTTTGTAGCATTCCTGCCTGCCCGGGGCTCTTGGTCGTCGTGCGTTTTCGTGCGGTCCACCATTGTTGCTTGTTGGGGTACTGCATTCCACTCAGCCCCTCGTCGTTAAGCTGTCTTCACTGTGTTGGCTTGCAGCAGTTCGGGGAGCGGGAGGGGCTTTCGGAGCAGAGAGCTCTTGGCTGCTTCAGGTTTCACGCAAAACTAGTTGCTCCTCGTGTTTTGCCGACGCTTCAGCACAGGGTGTCAGTCCTAGGCTCGAGATGGGGGGTCGGCCTGTTTTGTGCTCGCTTTGCGCTCTCCAAGTTGCGGTCGCTTTTGTTTGAGGCTCGACTTTCAGGTTACTGTGTCCGTGAGGGGGGGTGTCAAGGGAGTCAACCCTGCGTTCTTAGTGCTTGCCTTCAGCACGCGGACCTTGGAGAGCAGTGGGGGTTCCGGCAAGACAAGTGTAGGGTGGGGGCTTCTGCGTGCGCATGTTGCCTTTGGTTTGTAGCACTCCTGCATGTCCGGGGCTGGTCGTTGTGCGTTTTCGTGGGGTCCACCGTTCTTGCTTTTTGGGGTCATGCTCTCCTCTCAGCAAGGATTCCCCCGTCGTTAAGCTTCACTGTTTTGGCTTGCAGCCCTTCGGGGAGCGGGAGGGGCTCTTGGCTGCTTCAGGCTCATGCAAATCTGGTTGCCCTTCGTGTTTTGCCGATGCTTCAGAACGGGGTGTCAATCCTAGGCTCGAGGTGGGGGGGTCAGCCTCTTTTGCGCTCGCTTTGAGCTCGCTCTCCATGTTGCGGTTGTTGCTGTTTGAGGTCCGTCAGGGGGAGTCAAGGGAGTCAACCCCGCCCTTGAAGAGCAGTGGGGTTCCGACTAGTGCAGGCCGGGGGCTTCAGCGTGGGCATGTTGCCTTTGGTTTGTAGCACTCCTGCTTGTCCGGGGCTCTTGGTCGTCGTGGGTTCCACCGTTGTTGCTTTTTGGGTGTGCTGCTTTTTCTCTTCGGAGCAGAGGGCTCTTGGCTGCTTCAGGTTTCACGCAAATCTGGTTGCAACCTCGTGTTTTGCCGAGCGGAAGGCACCTTTTTGCTCACTTCAGGCACCACTCAAATCTGCTTGCACCTCGTGTTTTACCGAGTGGGTGCCTTCCGCTTGGCTCAGTCAACCCTCGGTTTGTTGTTCTTGGTGCTAGGCTTCAGTGCCGACCGGCTTGAAAACTACTGTTTTAGTGGGAGGGGCTCTTGGCTGCTGGAGGGTTGCTCTTAGTGCTTGCAGAGAGGCTAGAGGTGTGGGTTTGCAGCACGTCGTAGGGCTGATGTGAGGGTTTTGGAGAGAGACGGCGGTGTCAAGAATGACCCCCTGAGAATTCCCTTGCAGGTTGACGTGTCCCAGGCTGCTGAGTTTTTTGGAAAGCTGCTGTTCGACGGCACAAAGGGCTGGCCGCTGACAGATGCTGGCTACTCGTCAAACCCAAGCTGCATCATTGAGCTCAGCTTGGGCCCATTCAATGGTGAGTTGGCTTTAAGCACACCTGGGAAAGACAAAACAAAACTCTTGGATCGGGACACAGAGATGCAGGATATGGTGACCAAAATTGTGGCTCGAGCAAAGCGTTTGGAAGGGCTTGCCAGCTCTGACAAGAGTTTGTCGCCAGCGCTCCTGGTAGCGCAGGCGCCCGGCTCTGGCAAGAGCCATTTCTTGGCCGAGTTGGGTGAGAACATCTCGAGTCTTTGGGACTTGGATGGCAAGTTGCAGAGGCCGATTGTTTCTGTCTTCACTTACAACTCTGCCATGGGCGACAAGTGGACCGATGGATTTCGTATGAGCAACAGCGGCGTGGACTTGGGTCTGCGGGTTCTGTTCGGTGCTGCCTATCACATGAGAAGCACTGGATTGCGCTGCAAGTCTTGGACAGCCTTCTTGGATGCCATCAACCACGCTGTTTCATCTGAAAACATGCTGCAGAGCCTTGTCGACCTCAATTTTGTGGTTAAGATCCTGCGGCACTGGTATGGTGCCCGGCCTCTACTAATCCTTGCCGACGAGATGGGCAGATCAGACGACGAGGGTCTCGCTAGACAGCGACTTTGTCAGCTGATGGATTCTTGGGCCGGGCAGGTCTCGGTGGTGATGTCGGCGCTCAGCGACTATGAGGGAGCTGTGAACATGTTCAACGCGAGCATTCGGCCAGTAGAGTTTCAAATCTTGATTGTGCTCGGAACTGACACGTTCAGTCGCTTTCAGTCAGTGCTCACCGTCTGGGACCGAAACAAGACTAAGAATGCAATCTTGGCCTACCGCATCTCGCTTGCTTGGGGAGCCACGGCGGGCTATGCCCGCGCCGTCCAGTATCTGACAGCGGAGCTGAACAAAGCAAGATTCAAAGGCCCGTCTGGAGGTTCCATAATGGGTTGCATTGCGAAGCTTGGAGACATGGGAGTGAACCTCCCACCCCAATTCAGGGCAGACGAGCTGGAGGCACTGCTCGAGACATGGGACTCACGGGCTTGCCCCTACCAGCAGCTGGCTCGAGTCAGCCGCATCAAGTCACTGCAGCGGGGCATATACCAGGGAAGCGTGCTGGTGGAGGCGAGGCAAACCTCACAACAACAGAGGCTTTTTATGCCAACAGTCGCAGCCTGGCATGCGGCCTCCTGGTTCGAGAACTCGTTTAACCCAGTAGAGTCCTTTCCTAGGGTGGCCAAGCTTCAGCACATGATGGGCGAAGCGTATCGGGCCAAGTGCAAGGCGATTGAAAGCGACAACGAAACACACATGAAGCAAGCTGCGTCGTATTTCACGGAGGTTACAGGCGCTCTTGGTGCTATGCTAGCTATTGTGAAAGGGCATGAGAAGCTTCCACAGGCTCTCAAAACAAGCTGTGGAAGCTTCCTGGATATAGGCTTTAACGACTCACTGGCACAGGATCCCGCCCTTGCAACAGCAAACAAGCACGAGGCACAACAAAAGCTCGAAAGTTTTCTGCGGGAAGCTCGAGAGCTGGGCATCAATCACTGCGGCACGTCGCCTTTCCTGGTCATCATGGCTCCCCCCAACTGCATGGCCCTTGACTTTGTCATCTTCCGCCGGGAAAATGCAAGTTTAGTCGCCGTCCAAGTCAAGTCCAACACTCTGCTCAACCAAGAGGATGTCGAAGAGCAGTCGAAGAAGCTGCACAAAGCAGCAGAAACGGTGAGGCAACGGAACGTGGAGTTTTTGGCGGTGCTTGGCTCCAATTTTCCCAAAGGCTTCATCGACGACCTATTTTCGTTGCAGCAAGAAGACTTGGTGGCCCTCATCCCACCCTTCCTGCGCCATCTCTCAGGTCTTGCTGCTGGAGTACCAGGCCCTGAGCGCCGAGTGAGGAGCAAAATAAACGCCCGCACTGAGACCGGAGTTGACCGACATGACGTCGAGCAATGATTGAGAGTGACGTTTTGTTGTCAAATTCGGTGTTGGCAGGTGGCCCGACCGCATCCGAGCTTGCCTTGAATGACTGCAAGTGTGTGCAAGGCTTCGGCTGCAAGTGGTGTCGTCATGTCGTGAATCACAAGTATGCGCTGCATCTCGGGATCATGGTTCGCACTGGTGCGTGCTTCTGAGCAAGAGGTTGAGGTGTGGCACAGACAGGTCGTGTTGACTGTTTTTGAAAGGAAGCAGCTTGGAGGTTATGACCTGTGTTTGGTGCAGAGCAGTTGGCACTCAACAGAAATACCCGGCCCAAATCTTGCCGTGGTCATGCAGGCTTGACGGCTGTGCGAGGGTTGCTCAGCCTCTACCGTGCCTTTTCGTCAGAAATCAAACCTTCTCGTGATGGACACTGCACTCAAGGAACATACCTTCGCTCAAAACATCTCGCCGGATAGAGTAGGAGGGCCAAGGCCACATTTTGGTATAGGTTGTCTAGAGACAAAAATTGAGGCCGAGCCGGGCTTCCAACCAACGCCGAGCCCCCACATCGCGGTCTACCTCAATCCTTAAGACGACGACCTGCCCAGAGCCGCATTTTAGCCCAAAAGATTTTGCATGGACTTTGAGGGCACTTTCGAGCGTTCTAAAAACCAGCCCTAAGCCTCCTAGGCCGCGTTCTGGAGCGAGTTCCGGCCGAAACCGGGAAGAAGGACTTACCCTATCAACGAAACAGCCAGAGACTACGCTGAAAGAAAACGCGGGTTGAAAAACCAGATACAAGAGAGAGCTCTTGGATCAGGAGGGACGAGGAACAGCCTGCAGCTAGTGTGACGGCGTGGTGGGGGCTGCAGCGACTGCTTGGGCTGCAGTGCGGGATTGGGGGGCTGCAACGACCGTGACGGCCTGGGGTCTGGAGGCTGCAGCGACCGTGAGGGCATCTGGGGCTGCGGCGCGTCGTCGCCGCCTCGTCGTCGTCGCGTCGTCACCGCCGCGTCGTCGTTGCCGCGTCGTCGTCCCTCCCCCCTCAGTCGGTGAACCCACCTGCCATCCGGGCTTCGGCGTGAACGAGGCCTACTAGGTCGGCGCCGGTCCGGGGTTGAAGTCGCGGAGTTGTCTGACCGCCAGTGGCACCGGCCGCCGAGTCAGCCGAGCCATGGGCTCGCCGGAGCCCCGGGGCACCGGGAGCGCGTGCTTCAGCAGGGTCTCCGAGCCGTCGGTGGCCCTCGCCGTCATCGAGTCGTAGCCCGCCAGCTCCCTGACCGCCCCGTACTGGGACTGGAAGCTCCTCGCCGCGTTCGTCGGGGCCTGGAAGGCGCCCGCCTCCTCGAGGCGCCGCTGCCGGCCCTCCGTGAGCCGCTTGTTGTGCTCGAACTTCCGGGCGTTGTCCTGGTAGACCCGGAAGGTGGCCGCCGGCATCGTCTCCACGTCTTCGGGCACCACGGTGACCGCCTGGTGCGGCCGGGCGTTGTTGGCCTCCGAGACCTCGTCGATGTGGTCCCCCAGCCGCCGCCGTCCCGGGCCACCTTGCCCGCCAGGTCCTTCTTCAGGGTCTGGATGGCCCGGTCGATCACCGCCGTGGCGTTCCGGTCCTCCGGGCGCTTCTGCCGGTGCAAGTTCCCCTCCCCCTCCACCAGCTGGGGGACGATCTCCCGGCCGCCCGGGTCACCGTCTCCGCCCGCTTGTCGGGCAGCGCCTTCGTGGCCACCTCCCGGGTGAAGACGTCCTGCACCACCAGCCCGTACCTGTTCCTTCCCCGGATGTTCTGGAAGAAGTCGATGAGGTCGGCCTGCAGCCGCTTGTCGGGTTGTCCCGGGAACTCCCGCCGCCGGGCGATCTGGAACAGCTTCCGCGGGTCCCTCACGTTGAAGTTCCGGGCCAGGTCCTGCAGCAGCCCGATCGCCTCTCCTTCCGCCATTTCTCCTTAATCCGAGTCGTCTCCGCGAGATCTCTTGCCCAGGGACCCCGAGGCCTCCACCTACTAAGCCACGAAGGCCACGTGGTTGGCCGGGCCGTCCCATATGGTCGTAGTAGGTCGCCTCGACGCCGTCAAAGGGTTTGTGGGCCTCCTCGGCCGGCACGGCTCGGAGGTTCGTCTTGAGGCTCTCGTCGCTCAGATTTTGGAAGCCGTAGAAGCAGATCACCTCGCCGTCGCTGCCCCCGCCGGTGTTGGCCTCGATCAAAAGGTTGGCCGGCCCGCTGCTGGTGTTGAGGCTGATGGTTTGGTCCAGCGCGTTCAGCTGGCAGCCGCCGATGGCCAGGACCTTGAGCTCGGCGAGCCCGGCCTGGTTGTTGGCGTCCAGCAGCACCGTCACCGTCTGCACGGTGCCGCCCGGCGGCCCCACCGCAATTTGCTCCAGCAGAGAGGGCTCATGGACTCCGCTGGTGCTGACAGGGGCGCGATGGCGCCGCTCAAAGACGAGGCACTTGGCCACCTCTGCAAGGCCCTTTTCAGGGCCTCCCAATTTCAATCCCCAGACGGGGCGAGGCGCCACACAATAGGGAGGGGGTTCCCTCTCGCTCTACTTTTGGTTGGTGCCTCTGGAATTGCAGGGCACCAGACAGAGGATAGAGCGGTGGGGGTGCAAATGCAGGTGGTATCCTGGCTGTGCAGGGTCCCTGCAACCCTTCGCCCAGCAGAGTTCGAGGCCCAGGTCTTTGACGATGTCCGCTAGGCCAGGGCAGGTTCCCATGGCCGGCACAGTTAAGTTGAGGGCCGAGGGAGACAAACAAGGACAGAGCCAATCACGTCGACGTCGTCGAGCCATAAGTCGACATGCACATGGACAGGAGGGTCGCACCCCTGCAGCGTGCAATTCGTCCCCCTGGACCTGAATGACATGGACGATGTAAAGTCGTGGTGGTACATGTTGCGTGAAGACCTGCCCCAGGCGGAAGCCACGCGCATCTACAGCGTGTGGCAAAGCCCGGCCCTAAAGCCCCTGAAAATGCTGGCCTGGACCATGCGGAGGTTGCAGCACATGGGCCTGGTGAACCAGGACGTCACCGTGACGCACCCTACGGAGCGCAACTGCGCCGCAGTGACCGCCTTCAAGAAGTTTCCGTGCAATTGTCGAACACGTCCGGCAGACTGGCATCTTTGATGCGTCCACCCTCCCTGACCTCATTCTCGCCACTGACGCCTCCGGAGGCCCGACCACCAAGGACAGTGGGGTTGAGAGCGGCTCCGCTGCCTTCACTTTTTCCGCCCCCGCTTGTTTGGAAGGCGTGGGCTCTCCGGCTCTCGTTCTCCTGGTATTACCTGGCATGCCCTGGGTGCCCCGAAGGGTCAGGCGGGTCCGACTCGTTGGTGGTGACGTTCCCGGTTGCCGCCACGGAGCCGGCGAGGAGCTGGGCGAAATTGAGCGTCTTCGCTGTGTTGACCGTGACGTCTTGGTTCAGGGTGACCGGCAGCAGCGAAGGAGGCCAATGGCGTGAAGGTGGCTCCGACACCAATAAACCCATCACGGCCGCGCTGAGCAACTACTCCACAATGCTCGCGGCCATCGCCGCCGCGGAGACGGCCGCCAACGACTACACGGACGCCGGCATGGTGCTCTGTACAGCAACACGGTCCAAGTCGCGGGTCCCCTATTCCACGAAGGCCCAGCGATTCGGCGATATCCAACGCCCTGGCAGGCATCGACCTCTCAGGCTACTACACCATCGCTGAGACCGATGCAGCCATCCTGGCCGCCCTGGCGCCCTACTACACGAGATGCAGCGATAGCAGCGGCCGTGCGAGCGGTGGAGTTCTCAGGTTAGCGCCCAGACAGACGCCGCCATCACGGCGGCCAAACGAGCTGGCGTCCAGGGCCGCCGTGTCACCCACGGCCGCGAATCCGGTTCGGCTTTAGCGTAGGCGTTGAGGTGAGTTTCAGCATGGTGTCCGAAAGGATGGTGCTGGCCCCTAGAAACGCCCGCGGCAGCAGGGCCTTGATTTGAGGCGGCGTCACGTTGGTGCGCACCAGGGACTTGAAGCACGTAGTCGCTCAGGTCCACGGAGACCTCGAGGCTGTCGTCGTTGTTCTGCAGGAGGCCAAATTGCGCAGCACGTTGGTGCCGCGCAGCAGGTATTTTCCGATCAACAGCTTCACGGAGGGCGGTCCGAGCTACAACCTCATCCAGGACCAGTTCACCCCAACACGCATCCGCAGCCTGTGCCCACCGCCCGTGAGCCTCCTGCCCATCCTGGGCAACGGCTCCGCCCTGAGCTGGAGCCCTGGCGCGGCTGGTATTCCTGGCCAAGCACGCTGCAGGCTCTTTCACGTTTCCCTGCCACTCCGTCCAGTCCCGAAAAGTGCAAAGAGGTTTGAGGTGACCTGACCGGGCCAGGCCTGTGCATTGATCAGGTTGCTGGCGCGCCCAGGTGCTGAGGGCGGCGAGCTGCGCGAGGATGGCGTCGATGGCCGAGTAGAGTGAGGTTTCCAGGGCCGCGAGGTTTTCGGGGGCTGGCGAAGGGCCCCTGGCCCTGCAGGGCCAGGATGTCGGCGTCGTGCGCGTCGCGCAGGGCAGGGCCGCGTCCATGTCTGCTAACAGGGCAGTTGGTCCACGACCACTTGAGAGCGTAGGTTGCTGCCACCGTGGCCAGAGTTGCATTGTTGGCCGAAGCGATGCTGGAGTTCATCGCTGCTGTTCTTCGCTTGACCACGGAGGCCGGCGTGCTTTTGTTCACCGCGAGGCCGGAGGCGTTGGCGACGATGGTGCCCTCTGCGACTGCCAGGTCCGCGGCCAGAGCATAGGGCAGCTCGTAGGCTGTTCTCGTTGGCAGCTCGTTTGGCAGTGGTTGGGCTGGTAAGCAGCGGGTTGGCAGCTGGTAAGTAGCTCGTTGGCTGCTGGTTGGCAGCCGGTTGGCAGCTGGTAAGTAGCTCGTTGGCAGCTCGTTGGCTGCCGGCAAGCAGCTGGTTGGCAGCCAGTGAGCTCGCGAACGGCGACTTCGAAGCACCGTGAACGAACTTCGAAGTGCCGCGCACGAAAGGCCCTTTGAATCCCGTTTTGCTCGCACTTTAGAGCCCCTATAAGATCGCTTGATAGGCCCGCGAATCGACAGTGCTCCGAAGTACCGAATTCTGACTTATGTCTCGAACCTGGACCTGCAGCAATCACAGAGTGGAGCGCTGGAAAACCCTCCCAGAGAGAGCCGATTGTCAACCCGATTGTCAACCCAGTCGCGTCGCCGCTTCGTCGTCGCCGCGTCGTCGTCGCCTCGTCGTCCTCTGTTATCGACGACCTCGGTCTGCTTGGAGAAGGCCCAGTCTCGGGTGGCGTCGTAGCGGTAAAACTCCTCAGTATGGGGTTCCCGTTTCCCCAGCTGACGCGGGCGTGGGGCTGCTGGTCGCTGAGGCCGCTGGACTGCCGGGACAGGGAGCCGTTGACAACGACGGGTAACGTTGCGCCCCTGCTGGCGGGGGACGTGGGCCAGCCAGTCCGTGTACTTGTCGCCGTCGGCCTGCAATGAGCGTCGGGCGTTTTTGAGGCCGGAGTGGAGGAGGATTCAGTCGGTGGGCCCCTGGGGCTGCTGCTCGTCGAACTGCCTCGAGACCTCGCGGAGGCGGTTGTTCGCGAGCGGGAGCCGCTGCGAGGCCTGGGCGTTCGTCCTGCTCGGCGGATTGCTTCTCGTTGTTGCGCCCAACTAGACAAGGTCGAATTCCAACTTGCAGAAAAAAGGCCAGCATTCTGTTGCTCAGCAGACCCGGATCCCAGAAAAATGGCTCCCCAAAAAAACGGGCAGCATTCCCCCAGGCGTGTGGGGTTTTGGGGTGTTCGGGGCCGCCCCCACCACGCTCCCCAGCCCGCGAGCTTCACGAAAGGTGATGGGTTACTCATGGCCCCATCTGAACCCCAACTCCACTCGCTGGACCGCCGTGCCGAGTCCCAGACCCTCCCCCCACAAGCGAGGTTCCTCGGCCCTGGGCTGCGGCTCAGCGTGCCCACTATATAGGATAGATAGGGTAGACGACGACGCGGCACAACGGCGACGACGTTGTACGGCGACGACGCTGCGGACGCTTGTACAGTTGGCTCAAGCCCCCTCATGGGGCTCCGTGTACAGTTGGCGCAGGCAAAACCTTGAAACCCCTTCTTTTGCCGAAACCCGCAATCGCAATAAAATACTCCTTCGTGGCCCTGCGGCACTGTTTTTATAGGGGTCACAGACCCTTAAAATGGCTGAGTTCTATAGTGGTGCCTTTATTCTTGCATGGGCACGGATTTTACTGTCGGTTATTTTGCATGGCACATTGGCAAAGGGAGCGTTCCCCCCGCAGCTCAGTCGACGTAGCGATCCGCGTCCTCTTCCTCCAAGGAGTGGCGAAGCGGCACATATCACACCGCCATGTGCGTAAACTGTCTGACTCACGGAACGGCCGGAAAGGGCGGAGCCGCCACATCCAAGAAGTGTCCGGGTGCTCAATCCACCACGTGACTTCCATCCGCTCGCAGATCAAAGACAACTTGCGGCACCACAAAGCGAGCTCGTTCCCTCTTTGCAGCTTCTCCCGCATCTTGCCACCAATCCAGGGGAGGCCCAAGGGTAACGACAGTTTCTGATCGCCGGGGTCACCGCTCGCGAGAAAGAATCGCCAGGCGGAGACATTGCCACGACAGAAACCTTGCCCTCAAGAACGAGGCTTTCGACCAAGGCTTGATTACTTCCCAGAGACAGGTCCTCCAGCGGGCTGCGCAAGATGTCAAAGCTGATGACCCAAGGAGCGCCACTTCGGAGCAGTGCCTTAGTGACGCCTCCTGTGCCACAGAATAAATCTAGGCAGCCCTTAGCCGAAGGGTCAGGGGTATGGCCTCGGCGTGTAAAGATCTGGCACGAAGGAACCCCCAGGAATACACTACCCGGACTTTGAGAGCAAGTGGCGCCGAAGTCCTCAAGAGGCGGTTCTGCAGTCCAAGTTCCCATGTCTCGAACCTCAGACCTGAAACGGCTTTGTGGTCTGCAGTCGGGAACCTCGCGGGGCTCGACGTGCTCGAAGCTCGGGACGTCACCTTGAGCGGCTCGTCTCGAGAGAAACTGGTAGTCACGCGCTCAGCTGGTATCCACCACGAAGGCAAGGGATGCTTTGGGGAAGGTGGTGGCTTTCCACGTGTAGGCCCGTCAGCAGGGTTGAGGTCGGTGGGGTAAAACATGTAATGCGGGAAAATACCAGCCCCCAAATAAGGCCCAATCGAAGCTGAAAGGAGCTTGTTGCAGCCAAGCCCCACCTGAGAGTCGAGACCACTGAGAATCCTGACGTTTTGGTGGAGCCTGGCAACGTACTCCTCTTCCAACAAGTAGGCTCGGACCTCCTTGCAGTTGATGTGCTCACCATCTTTGAAACCGCGCCTCCATTGCTCGTGGTAATCAAGGCAGCTCGCCAAAATGTTAGCTAGCTCATTGGGCGGGTACGGATCCTCGTTCGGCAGCACATCATCCTCCGACAGCTCGCCCCGCTCGTACATCCAGGCCTTCACCGGGGGTAGCAGCTTGGTCCAGGTACCCTTTGCCAGCGAATGGCGACAGCACTCAAGCAAGATTGACGGGGTCACCTTAGCACGGACCGCAGCCCCACCCCAAGACGAGGCGTCGGTGGCACTGATGAAGTTAGCGGGCTTGGCTCTGATGTCGGCAACGGCAAAAGGACCTAAGGCAATCAAACACCAAAGCTCAGACTTCAGCTTCCCCGAGAGGCGAATGATAGTGCTTTGGTCCTCCAAGCCAGAGGCTGCGAAGATAAGATCCATGATCGACAGAAGACGGCGCCTCAGTAGTAGCACCGAAATCCAAGACCCACTCAGAGCCTTCATCAGCCCAACGGTGGCGTAGCCCAAGGAGATCACTCGAGAGGTGATCGCGATGAGAGGCCAAAGGCGCGACCTGGCAGGACGAACCAGCCCCAAGACCCCGTCCAGCTCGATGCCCCAGAACCTGCCGTACGGCTCGTTCTGGAACGCCTTCTTGGAGTTCGTCACGAGGTTAGCGCCTGCGTAAGCGAGATCAGCCAAAGCCATACGCACATCACTCCCCGATCGAGGCCACGGTCGAGGCGAAGTGCAAACACTCAAAGGAAGGAGCTCAAGCACAATCAAGTCGTCGATAATGACACCCACCTGAATATCGCTCCTAGGGACCGGGCTGGCCAAAGAGATGAGCTCGTTTTCCTTGAACACCCGTTTCTCGTACAGCAAGCACAAGTGGGAGGCCTGAGCATATTCGCAAGCCGAACAGTCGCCCATTGCAAGGGTGTTGAGCCCCACATGGGCCGAGCCACGGACCTTCACCTTCCCCTTTCCGAAAATGAAGTCCGCATCGCCTTGTGACAGGGCGCCACTGATGCAATTCCGAACCATTCGTTCGCGTCCCACCTGAAACTGGTAAAAGAAGTCCTTGAGGTCACGACCGGAGCAGCAGAGGCCCGCGCCCGGCGGGAGGTAAATCGCAGCGACCTTCTCGGCAGAGGCCAGGCATTTAGTCCAAGCATTCAAAGGAACTTCGTACACATTGGCCCCACGGCCGTCCAGAATGAGACGATCTCGTTCAAGATCCTTGATCACCGCAAACAGGCCCGAGCTAATCCCTTCAGTCACCTCATTGCTCTCAAGGATCCCCAGCCGGCCTGAAGCCGCCAACTGCCTTGGTAAGAGCAGCTTGTTCTCCGGAGTAGCCATGATACTGGACCTGGGCGGCGGTGGCTCGCGAGGTTCGGGTAGGCGATGCTGAAGGGGATGCTCATACACGGCTTTGGTCTTTGGGTCCAAGAAAGGTCGTGGGTCAAAGCTTGGCGCCGAAGGCATGGAGATGCGGCTGGCATCGATCGGCTTTGCATTCATAGCTTTTTCTCCGGATAGCGTGCCACACTGTGTCCCAAAGTCCTTGCGAGACGATCGGCTAGAGGACCAAGGACCGGCTCACCGTAGCTATCCCCTTGCTGCTTGTTTGGCTGGAAGGAGGCCCCGAAATACTTAGAGTGCGAATGCAAACTGGTGACCTCTCTCCAAATGCTTCCCAAAGTCTGGTCTTGGTCCTCCAACTTGGAGGCCGTGCGCCCGAGGTCGGGCGGCTCAAAAGTCAAAAAGTCACATCCATCCAGGTAGCGCTCCAAAAGCTTGACCACTGCCCATTGCCTCTTCGACAAGGGGCGCCCTGCTTCAAGGCCTGCGGGAGCACAGCTCGGCCGGGAAAGGTAGAGCCAGTTCATCGCAGCAACAGCCAACAGCCAGATTCACATAGCGTTTTTTCCAGGCCGATGCGCCGCCACATAGCCCATGGAAAACCTGGAACCTTCAGGGAGTGGCAGCGGAACGGGCCAGATGGATGGTGAAGCCGAAGTAGAAGTACTCGGCGCGCAGGTAAGACTGGAAAGGAAAGAAGCGAAGTCGCCCTTGGATTTGAGGACCCGCCCCCACATCGAATTCCCAAGGTTCGGCACTGAAATCACGGGTGCTTTCGCACCGGGCACCTTCAAACGGCCCTGCGAAGCATCCCGCTCAGGGACCCCAGAGGTCATGCACTTGGCTCGATCGCCGACTTGGCCTTCGGCTTTGGCTTTGGGCCGGGCTTCTCCTTTGCAGCTGGTTGCCCCTCCACCTTTCCAGGCGTTCGAGTGGTCTTGGCTCCCAGCTTCCTGCGCCGCTCCACGTAGTCGCGAAGGTGATGAAGGAAAATCTCGCCCCAGCGTGGCTCCATGAGGCGGGACATCGGCTGCTCGGTCGGGTCGGGCAAAGCTCGGTTCACAAAGGAGTGGACCGGAGGAGCCAGCTCCAAACTCGCCTCCGTAGCCAAAGTCCACGACCCTCGATCCAACGCCACTTGATCTGCTTGGAGAAGCATCAAGGCCGCTCGCGCTCGTCCCCGCAACTCCCCAGGCAGTCCGAATGGCTGCGGGGTAGTTGGTGAGCCGGCTCCTGTTCTCCAACCAAGCTCTCGCGCAAAGCGTCGGAGTGGGCATGCCTGGCGCCACCGTCCGGGACAACAAGTCCTCCATCATCAACTTCTCGATGGTGCCGTAGATCTCCTCCGGGTTCTCGTGGAGGGCTTGTCGCAAGGCTCGCCTGGCCATCGAGTTTTTCCGAGTCGAGACGTCTCCGCCTTCGAGGCCACCAGCACCTAAGGAGGCGCCGTCCAGCGCCTGCTCTAATCGAGAGCCTTTCTTCACGGTGGTGAGCTTCACCAACGCGGCTGCGACCGGGTCTTGCGGGGTCTCTTGCAAGGTTGGCTGGATGGGCAATGCTGAGCTTCCCCGCTGCTCTGTGGCGACCTCTTCCTCGGACTCGTCCAGCGCGCTCTGCTGTGGCCGCGCTGTAGCGCCGGGGTCCCTCAGTCTGCGGGCAAGCCGGGAGAACTGCTGCAGTGACTCCAAGTCAAACCACGCAGCCAGAGCGGACTTCACGACGCCAGCGTCGAGGCCCGGCAAGTGGGAAGCTTTCGGGCCAGGCGTTGCCTTCGGAACTTTCGGGGCCGGGCCGGCTGCT